GAGTTCACATCAGGAAAAGCAGCAGGACAAGCTTCTCTAGAACCAACAGCACACCCTCTCCCCCTCCAGTCCTGGGGAGGTGTCTTCCGTACCCAGCACCACGCTGTCTCAGTCCAGCTGGGTTTGCCAAGTGGGCCACCAGTGAATTGTAGGGATCCGTTGGTCTCTCGATGTGACTGTTGTATTCTGGGGAGAAACAGCGGCAGGACTGCGGAAAAGATACACAAGAAGCCAAGAGCTGGGTTGGGTGGTAGCCCATCTGCCTGGGTGTGGAAACGACCCCCGGCACAACAACAGGGGGTTTTATTTATACCTTTGCAAAGTTAATATCAGATAACACAAGGTTGTCTTTTGACTAATGGCTCACATTAACCAGTCAGGATGCTTCTCTCAGGACTGAGGTACATTGACTGCTTTAGGCACTGAGGCCTAGTCAGCCTCTCACTCAACCAATTCCCAGCTTCCGTGGCTAACAACAGTGAATCCCCCACACTGGACAAACAAATGAACGGGTGGATGGATGAGCTGACGGATGGAAGGAGTGGGTAGATGAGCGATACAGGAGGGTGAGTGGCTTGCTGTGGATGGCTGGGGAGACGGGCAGGGCGGTGCTCCTTGCCATCTGATGTCTATGTCCTCCTGCAGTCCCCTCCTCTTTGGGGCCTAGCCCCTGTCCCCAAAGCACGCAAGTGACAGGCTGCAACTTCCAACGCTGAATGGGCTGTTGGGGCTTCGGTCCTGCTCTCCAGCTCACCTGCACTTCCTGAGGGAAGCCAGCTGCCACACCAGGGAGCCCACACAGCCAGCTGAAGAGGGCCCTCAGAAGCCTGCCTTCCACAGAGAGCAACACCTTGCCTGGCAGCAAGCAGGCAAGCCAGTCTCCAGACCCGCTGTGTCCTCAGCTAACTGCGACCTCAAGAGACACCTTGACCCATAAAGACCATGAGAGCTCAGAGTCATCATAAACCACGAGGCTCCGGGAGAGTTTTGCATCCAGAAGTAGGTGGGTGGGTAGATGGATGCGTGGGTGGGCAGGTGCCTGGTGGGCACCACCGTGGCTGGATCCCAGTGTGCACCAATGCACGGCCTTTGGAGTAGAGGGGAGTGGAGGAGTGGTCTGAGTCTGACCAGTGAGGATGCCCCCAAAGATAAATCAGACCCATGGCGCCTCCTCCCGCACCCCTCTTCTCACACCCTCAAAGGTCCCTCCTGCTGCTCAGCTTGATGCGCACAGCAGAGGCTATGTCCACCTGGCCTTGGCCCCTGAAAGAGCTACAGCGACTGGACAGTGGCACTCGGGGCCACCCCGAAGCTCCAGCCGAGAAGGCCGAAGCAGGCAGCCATCCACCCAGTCAGAGGTGGCAGGAGGCTCCCAGGAACCAGCAGAACAAGGCTGTGGGGTCCAGGCCTTCTGGGTAGGAGCGCCTTGGGATGGCCTGGGCTCTCACTCTGGCCCCCGCTGCTCCCAGCACCATGAGCTGGATCGCGACCTGGAGCTACCAGGTGAAGCAGCTTTAGTGTTGCTCAGATGTTGAGGAAGCCAGGCTGCCCAGCCTGCTGGCGGATTTGGCAGACCTTGGTCTGTGGTGCCACATAATGCGCCCCTACCCCCATATACACCACCGACCTGAGCTGAAGACCAGTCCTTCCATGGGCGAGGCTGTGTCCTTCCTAGGGCACCAGGGAGGGGACTGACTTCCGGCAGCCACTGCCAGTGAGGTTGGTCTGTCCCTCCATCACAAGCACTCCCTGCACACCTCCACCTAGAGATTTCAGCGGCCACTGGGCAGGGATCCTGAGAAGACCTGTTATTTCACAACGGCTGGACATGATTTTTCTAATCTTCACTGTGAATGTGTGTGCGTCTGCATGTGTAACAGGGCCTTATAAAGTAGTGCAGGCTCCAACACAGCCTCCTGAGTGCCACCACACCCACAGTCCAGATGTCTGTCGAGCACTGTGTGTACCAAACGCACACGAGCCCACCTGACAGCTCTGGGCAGGAGAGTCTGGGAGGCGGTAGGTATCTGGAGGACACAGAAGCAGCAGATGGAACTGACCTGCCAGCAACCCCAAGGGTTGCTCCTGATTCTACCTCCTGTGGAGCCAGGGAAGGGGGTGCAATCCTGGCTGACTTCCTGGAGGAGCAGGAACGAGAAATGAGGCTGACATGCCTTCACCAGGGGGCAAGGTGGTGGGAATCAAGGTCTGAAAGTCCCACCAGCAGCAGGAAGCAGAGGAGACTAGCCAAGGCAGTTGGGATGGGGGACATCCGGGCAGGTTTGAGACAGGATTCTGCTCAAGTCTGAAACCAGGTTGTAATTGACTTCAGCAGCTGATTCACATAACAGGAAACTAGGAGAGGGCTGCAGGCAAGGCTGGATCCAGAAGCCCGGACGGCTGCTGGTGGATTCATGTCCTACCATCTCCTGTCTCGGCTTCCTGCGGTTTCACAGGGCTGGAAGCCGCGCACCTCTGTGTAGAATCCCGACAGCCTGGTGCACAGGCAGGCCTGGAAGGGGCCTGGAGGGGGTTCAGAGCAGAAACGAGGGTCAGGGGTCGGGGAGATGGCTCAGTAGGTTAAGCGCTTGACAGGCAAACCAAAAGATCTGAGTTCAATCCTCAGTTCCCCAAAAAAACAAAAACAAAAAAAAAAAACCAAAAAAAAAAAAAGGGTCAGACTTGCTAGTTCCTGTGCAGGCCGTGGGCGCCCCCTGGTGGCTTCTGTCTCCGCATCTCTACTGTTGAATTTAGGATACTGCCTTTTTCCAATCCACACCTGCAGCTCCAGTCCTTTCAGGGCAACTCCGGGCGGGTGGGTCAAGCAGGCTAACAGATGCTCTCTGAGCTCCGCCTCTGGGCGTCACAACAGGCAGCCTTGAACAGACCGCAGGTGTCATGGGTCGCTGAGCTGCAACCCGGGTCTGCTGCATCACTCGGGCGCCCCACAGGGAGCCAAGCCCGGTTCGTCCCAATCAATGCATGTCCTTGGCTGTCAACTGTTGCAGGGCTTCTTGCTTTGGCTTGAGGCGGTCTTGCTATGTAGCCGTTGCTGGCCTCGAACTCCTGGTACACGGTAGGTAGGTAGGTAAGCACTCTTCCATTCAACCACAATGTAGCCTTGAACTTGCCTTTGTGATCCTGGGGATTGAACTGAGGGCTTGGCACTGAGTGGCAGCCCTTTTCTAGTTCCTTTTGAAACTAAAGTTCCACTATACTAAGTAACCCAGTCTGCTGACTTCCATCCTCCTGCCTGGGTCTCCCCAGTGCTAGGTCACAGGGGTGTACCAACTGAATCCTAGGTCTTAAAGTTTGGTTAGGATTTTCTTTCTTTTTTTAGAATTTTCCAGAGTTTGCTAGAGAAAATTCAAAAGCTAGGTGTGGTGGCACCCATCTATAATCCCACCAGCTGGGGAGCTGAGGCATGAGAATCTGGAGTTTGGGGTACACAGCACCACCCTAAGCATCGGCATAAGAAAGTTCTGGAATTCCCCACCCCTAGGAGGCTCGCCTGGGGTTTGGGGAGCGATGCCAGCGTGGACAGACCCCCTCCTCGTGAGGAGCTGAGCTCAGGCCCACTGGCCCTGGGCTCCCCCTCCCCCCGCGCTTCCCCTGGCTCTGGCTGTTTCCTCTGCACTTTCCCAGGAGTGAGCAAGTCACACGTTCAGGGCGTTTGAGACCCTGGCACAGACTGCAAGTTTCCATGTCTTTTTATTTTCTCCCTGCTGGAACAGTGAGGACCCTGGGCTAAGATGGGTGGGGCCAGGCCCTGCCCTGTGCGCTGTCACCTCCTCATGGCAGTGGAGACAGAGGCAGAGCAGGGACTCAACCAGCACAACTCAGTTCCTGGTCTGAAAGCAGAACGGGAGGCACCCGCGCAGCTGCGACTCCTTTCTACCAGCCAGCCTGGCCAGCACAGTAGAGGTCCTGGCCCTTTCCAAGGGAGGTATTCCCAGTACTGGATTTGAACCCACAACCTTCTTGCTGTGCCCCTGCCACAAGACCCACCTCCTTCACCCAGGGCCAGGGCGGGAGGCACTGGAGCTCCCCCACTGGTCTCCAGTGCTGTGGGCACTGCGGGGAGGCCTGGCTTCTCCTGCACCGTGGTGATGAGACCCAGCCTCTCCAACTGTCCCTGGCCATCGGTCTCCACCTTACTCCCAAACAGAGGCATAAAGAGCCATCTCTTTATCTGACAAACATTCCTTTTTCTTATTTAAGAAAAGAGCCAGGGTGGTGGTGCACACCTGTGAGCTCAGCACTTGGGAGACTGAGGCAGGAAGACCACAGAGGGTTCACAGGCAGCCTGGACTACAGAGCCAGACCCTGCCTCAAGAAAAAATAAAACCTACTCTGGCCTCATGGGAGAGATGGCCACAGCCACACCACATGGAGGAAGCTGTCCAGATCCCTCTGGGTCATGTTACACGGTGTGACACTGCTGGGGTAGGAACTGTGGAGGGAACAGAGGGAAGGCCAAGGCTCAGAGAGAGCCCACCCCGCCAGCGGGGCACCATGGTGCAGCCCTGCTGCCCCCAACTAGTCGGAGGCTCCTGATTTGAGGCCAGCCTGGACCCATGAGCAAGACCCTGCTCTAAGTATTTTTGGGGAGGATTTTTGATACAGGGCCTCACTACGAAGCACAGGCTGGCCTCACCAGTGTCTGTGTGCACGGGGGGGGGGGGGGGGACGGACCACTTTTAACAGCCCACTTCCTCACCTCTAACACCAGGGCGTTCACACGCCCCGAGCACCACACTCACTGGTGCCCCATAACCCGACCCACCACCTGCTCAGGTCTGCAAGTCCTTCTGGCGCTGCAGCCAGACACACAGAGTCACCAGCTTGCCACGTCCCTTGCGCCCATTAACAGCAGGACGGGGATATCCACCTCCCCAGGCTCTGGTGTAGAGGAACACTGTCCTGTGTGTCTTGGCCAGCAGGGGACATCAGGGGCGACAGAGAGGATGGGCGGGGGGAGGGAGGAAGCCACACAGCCCTGGCATCGGTCACAGGTGCTTTATTGAGGGGAGGGCTGCAGCACCAGCTTGAGCTGCTACAACCTGCAGAGAGAGGCGCAGGCAGTGAGTGACACTCCCTCTAGTTTTGGCCCCTCAGCATCCCCTTGGGACCCTCGGACACCACCCCAGGCTGACCAGGCCCTGTGGCCACAGGGGCACACAAGGACCAGGGTTCCTGGCTGTCACCGTGGTGGGGAGGGGACACTCACTGGATCTCTCGGAATGCCCGCTTTTCCACCAGCTTCACCTTGTACTTGCGCTTGAACCTGGGAAGCAGAGCAAGGATGTCAGGGAGAGCAGCCGGGCTGCACAGTGGGGTGTCCCCTGCCTGGGGCATCCTGTGTCACCACCCCCCACCCCACCCCACCCGGCCCTCACTTGGCTCTCTCCCGAGGCTCAATCATGTTTCGACGCTGGAAGCTCTTGAAGCGGTCCCGGAGGATGTTGCCCTCAGGCTGCGACAGAGAGAGAGGATCAGGGGCCAGGTCCAAGGACACAGACCTAGGCCCAAGGTGGGCAGGAACACCCAAGGCCGAGTCACTGAGGAGCTCCAGGGCAGGAGCCAGGCGGTCCCGACCTGGGGGCCAGCCTGTCATAACAATGCACAGGACAGGAGGCCCAGCTGGACAGAAGTCCACCCCATCCCAGCCCCACAGGATCCCGTGCCCTCAGCCCCTGGGTATCGGCCTCACTGGGCCAGCCCGGGGTGGCAAGGTGTCACCCACAGCCCCTGAGGGCACGGGGAGCAAGGATGGTGTCATCACTGGGCACAGTCCCACCACCCTGAGCACCTCGGGACCCGCAACGCACCCTCAGGGTCCTGAGCGCATCCGCCCGCTCAGAGCTCAGCTGCACGTCGATGTCGGGGGCCTGATACCTGCAGAAACAAGGACGTTGCTCAGGGCTCAGCCCATCCCCAAGTCCAAGCTCCCTCACCCCCAGCGCAGAGTGGCCCCAGGGACAGCAGGGGCCTGGGCCTCACTTGAGCCGCCCCAGCCTGCGGGGCTTGTTGTCCTCCGCCAGCCGCTTCAGCCGCCGCCGCTCCCTCCGCCGCGCCAGCTCTGCCAGCCGCTGGGCCACCTGGGCCTTGATCCCACGCAGCCGGAAGAGCTCCTGGTGCCGGAGCCGGGCAGCCCGCAGTGTGGCCTGCTGTACCCGCTGGGGCAAGGAAGGGCCAGGTCAGGGCCCTGACACACAGTCTCCCCTGACCTCTGGTCCCTGCCCCTGCACACTGACTACTCAAATGTCTCTCCCAACTTATTTCCCCGATACTAGGAATCGACCCTTAGGATGCTCAACCAATGGGTTATGCCTCAGCTCCTTACACTGAGACAAGATCTCAGTAAGTTGCCAGGTAGGTCTCCAGCTGGAGATCTTCCTGCCTCAGCCTCCAAAGTAGCTGGGATTAAAGAAAGGCACCATGACACCTGGCCTCAGCAGCTGTTTTCCCAAACTACTTTCATTCTCTGTTTTCTGGACCAAGACCTCCACATCTCCCCTCTCCACATCCATGCAGCAGGCAGCAGGGAGCAGGCAGTGGGCTGACACTCACCAGCAGGCGGGCAGCCTTCTCCCGCCGACGCTGCTGCTCCGTCTTCTTCTCTGTGGCAGCGGCCAGGCAGGCAGGTTGGGGAGAGGCCTCGGCTGCCCCCGCTTCACTGGCTGCAGGTGGCGCCTCGCAGCCAGGCTCGCCCTCCCCGTCGGACTCCTCGAGCAGCCCCTCGCACATCTCCCGGAACACGGTCTCCTGTGGGAAGGGGCGGTGTCAGCGTCAGGCCTGAGCAGCAGCATAGGAGGGGCGGGCAGGGCGGAGGCGCAGGGCTCACCTGCGTGGCCACCTGTTCGGCAGGGGGCAGTGCCAGCTGCCGCTCCAGCTTCTCCGCCTCTTTCTGTCGCTGCAGCTCCACCTCATGAGCTGCCAGGAGCAGGGCCTGGGAGGAGAGAAACGCTCATGCCTAGGCCCCAGGTGAAGAAAATCCCCGGCCACACTGCCACTAAGAGCGGCAGCGCCGTGCACTGGAAGTGGTGGCTGGGCCATGTGACCTGCTCCCTGCACACATGTGCACAAGCATATAGTCACGCTCAGGTCCACACGGCCTGACCCTATCCCAGCCTTGTGGGCCCCACAGGACCTGCAGCACCTGCTGCTCAGGGACAGCCTGGTCCCTTCATCTCTGGCAGTGCTGGGGACTACATGAAGGGACCAGCATGGAACCCACCCTCAGCTGCAACAGCAAAGCCTGCCACTCTGAAAAATCACCAACTGGTGACCCAGGGCCCCTTTTTCCACCGTCCCCTCTACCCACAGTTGAGAGTCCCGGCTGTAGCCATGGTCCAACGTCCCTGAACTTCCTGAGAGATCCTGTCTTGCTCCCCCATGCTGCACCCTGCCATGCTTATGTGGCTCAGACATGCCCTCCCCAGTGAGCCGGGATGGCTGGGGACCAAGGACAGACCCAGCTGTCCCCAGAACCAGGCCTGCACCTGGCCGGGCCCTGGCACGGACCCACCTGGTGGTCCTCAAAGGTCGGGTTGTAGGAGGCCCCAGCAGGCATCACCTCCACGGCAGGCGCTGAAGAAGGCTTGACATGGAGACGCCGTGGGCGCTGCGGGGAGACAAGCCCAGGGCAGGATGAGGCCAGGAGTACGGCTCATGATACCCCCAGGCTGCACTCAAGTAAAAACACGGTACTGTGCAGAGATGGGAGCCAGGCACAGGGGCGCACACCTGACCAGGAGGTTGAGGCAGGAAGAGCTCAAGTTCTAAAATCAGCTTAGGCTATGTGGTAAGATCCTGTCTCAAAAAATTAACAAAACAGAGGCTTTCCCCTTCGCCTCCCCCATCTTCTATGTGCAACCGTGGCATCCAGGACCCCACCTGGAAGAGGAGAGCAGGCGCCCACCACGCACCAGGCCCACCGGGACCTCCACACTGCACACTCCATTTCTGGTTCTCTCCCATCACTGTCCTGGGACTCTACGTGGCAGCAGGCACCCTGAGGCTCCAGTCCTCACACCTTGGGGTCTGGCTGTTCCAGCCAAAGAGCTGCAGCCCCACAGCCAGCTGCCTCCAATAATCGCTGTGGGACCCAGCGCCCCTGTCCAAGGCGAGCAAGCCTGCAGGGTAACCCGAGACAGGTGAGTCTGCACTCAGTCTGCGTGGGCCAGTCATGCTGTCACATAGTGACTTCTGCCATCTTATTGCTCACTGTGGCCTGAGAATCCCAGGGACACTGGGAAGAAACAGGAAGGACACATGGTCCCAGGGCCCCAAGGACACAGGCACCCATGTACTACCTCTTGAGGTTTTCCCTATTGCTCCATAAAAGCACAGGATTGTTTATTTCTTTGATACAGGGTCTCGCTACGCAGCTCCGACTGGAACTGACCCTCCTGTCTCAGGCTCTCCAGCACTGGGCTGACAGGAGTGCGCCACCGTGCCCTGCACAGTGCGTCCAGGGTTCCAGGGCCAGCACAGCAGGCAGTACCAGGGATCAAAACAGGGTCCTTGCACTTGCCAGGCAGGCGCTTAGACTGCTGAATGATCTTCTCAGCCCCTAATTTTCCTACTCTTTTTTTTTTTTTTTTTTTTTTTTTGTGGTACTGGGAATTGAATTCAGGACCTTTTGCTTGCCAGGCAGGCGCTTATACTGCTGAGCCATATCCCCAGCCCTAATTTTCCTACTCTTAAACAAAAAGCAGTAAGCACACTTGTCTTTTTTTTTTTCTTGGTGAGACAGGGTCTTGCTACGTAGCCCAGCCTGGCATCAAACACTCTCAGTGATCTTCCCACTTCAGCCTCCCCAAGCGCTAGGATTATAGGTGTCTGCCCCCACGCCTGGCTACCATCTGCACTTTAGAGGAAGGGACAGGGCACAGAAAATCAGGCCACCCCAGAACCATCAGTGCTGGGGCTGGGGCAAGGACTCAGGCCAGCAGGCTCTAGCACGCAGGGTCCTGGTCACCTTGGGTCACCAGGATAACGGACACGGAGACTGACTCCCCCCACCACGGCCCGGGCCGCCCTTATGCATGTCCTCACCCGCACGCCTTTCTTCTTGGTCTGCTCGAGGAAGAAGTCGTCGTGGCCGAGCAACGCCCTGTCCAGAGGGTCTGCAGAAACAGCGAGGCAGCTGCTGGGGCTGTCTGGTACGAGGCCCAAGGGATTCCTCTAACCCCCCTATTTCAAAAGCGTGCACTGAGCTCAAGCCATGTCTAGATGGGGTTCAGAGAGCTGGAGAGGTTGGGCTGAGGCAGACCCACACTCAGGACAGAGGCACAGCAGGAAGAGCGCTGCCACTCGGAACATTCTGTTCTGCTGGGAGGCCACGGAAGCAGGGCCCACAAGGCACCCCGACACCCAGCTCCTGCGCAGCAGGTAACACACACAATGGCTCTGTGCCTGCCACAAGTCAATAGCAGCGTCACTCACTGTCTGGGGCCCAGAGGTCGTAGAAGGGCTGCTCCACAGTGTCCTGGGGTCCAGGTTTGTCCTTTGGCGTGGGAGGGTTGAGGAGCCGGGCCTGGGCCTTCCGCACCTCCCCGGGCAGCTCGCCCTGTTTCACCAGCCGCTCCCATAGCTGCTCCTTCCGCCGGAGTCTCTTGGCGTTGGGGACTTGGTGGGCAAGGATGCTGGGCCGGAGAAGCACAGGTCAGGTGGCAGCCTGGGGCCTCCCCAGCCCTCTCACCAGGGAGGAGCCCTTCCTGGTATTACCCAAAAGCCCAGGCCTCTAACTTGGGCTGCCTGGCTATCTAACTTGCCACCTGAACCTCCTGCCACCCTGACTCGCTCAGCCCATGCGACTGGGACCCTGAACTCACCTTCCAGGTGTCCCCCTCCTCCCCGCCCCCACTCCACTACCCAACAGGCAGGCCCTTTGCTTACTCCAACGCACTCTACAAAGTCCAAGTCTCAGATGGGCACAGTGGTGCACACCTGTAATCCCAGCACCCAGGAGGCTGAGGCAGGAAGAGCGCTGAGCTCAAGGCCAGCCTGGGTAACACAAGTCAGGGCCAGCCCAGATAACACCGCAAGACAGTACCTCCAAACAAAAAAAGCCCAATCTTCCTGCTGTACAAACCGCCTGTCCGATCCCACTACCCTCCAAGGTGTCCTTCCGGCCAGGGGCTGGCAGGATGGAAAGGCCTGTGCTTGGGGACACTCACTCTTTGGGGGCAGGGATCTTGGATGTGTTCTCAAGGATGAGGTCGACCCGCAGGGGTTTCTGGACCCGCTGTGACTTTTTCTGGACTTTGGTCCTCTTTCGGCTCCGCTCTGGAGTGGGAAAGAGGAGGGGTCAGGGCTGAAGGGATCCCGACTGCCAAAGACAGGCCCCCAGCTCAGAGGCTTTTGCCGAGTCACCCCAGAGCAGGGCTCAGCATGCCCGGCCCCCCGTCCGGCCTGATTGAGCTTCACCACACCTCGACGGGTAGGAGGAAGCACTTGTGCTAGCCATATCATCAGGCTCCCAGACAGGCGTGGTGTTGACACCTGTAATCCCAGCACTTGGGAGGCTGAGGCAGAACCATTCATTCTCAGACCAGCCTGGGCTATAAAGTGAGCTCAAGGCCAGCCCTTGGCACAGACAGATCCTATCACAAAAAGACAAAAAAAAAAGTCTCCCAGACATAGCACCAGCAGAGACAAGCAGGCCACCAGCACCACTGAGGCCCAGAGGAGGTGACTTAGTTCAGTGGCCTCTGTTCTTCACCCAGAAGCCTACCAGTGGAAACTGAGCTGAAGAACACGACATGCTAGGACAGAATTGGACTTTGTCAATGGTCGGGCCTTGTATAGGGAACCCCACCCCTGGGCCTGCATCGTGGGAATGGGGCCCCCCCTTGAGGTACAGAGCACAGGGGTCACCTGTGCACCCTTGAACTCTGTCACCTGCGTCTACATTTTCTTGCTAAAGTTGCAACTACAAAAGCCCCCCCCCCATCCCCTAAAGCCAAGCCATCACCCACTTCCGGTCTGTCTGACAGGGCCTGATGCCCACACCGGATATGCTCCTGTCCGTGGAAGTCTCGTCACCTGCTCGAGTCCCCTGGGCCTACTGCTGGCCTCAGAACACTGCAGCAAGTCATGCTCTGAGGAGACCCTTTGAGTAACCTGACACGCACAGGGGGTCCTGGCAGGCAGAGTAGCACCCCACAACTCATCAGCTTCCCTGAGGAAGAGAGCACAGCTTGCTTCCCTTCACCCATGTTGGCCCGCTCTCCTGCACAGTGGTGAAAACCCTGCTGCTCACTGGAACAGTCCCTGCCGCCTCTCCACCTGTCTCAACAAGCTGTGGCTGTGTCCTGGCAAATGACATGGTAAGACCAGTTCCTTACTGACTGGTTAAAACAGACCCTCTTGCTCCTACAAAAGCTCCTATTGTTAACCAGAACAAGACCGACTCTGTAAGGCGGGTCCTCAGCTGGCTTCTCTACTGCCAACAGCACCCACTCTGATTAGTCTCTAACCTACTCATCAGGCAGAGGTAGCATTTGCACGCACTGAAATCACTACTACCTAAAAATCAAAAACACCCTGCCTTCTACACTAGTCTATGACTTCCACTGCACCCATGCCTGCTACTTTTGTTTAAAGCTGACTTTTCCTGGATGTAGTGGCATACACTGCTAGTCCAGGCTACTGAGGAGGCTGGGGCAGGAAGATCCCAAGCTGGAGATCATTCTCTGCAACTTAGCAAGCCCTGTGTCAAGAAAGATATAAAACCAAGCATGCCGGTGCACACCTGTAATCTCAGTACTCAGGAGGCTGAGGCAGGAGAATCGTTGGGAGTTAAGACCAGCCTGGGCTACAAAGTGAGCTTGAGGCCTGCCTGAGCTGCATAGAGACCCTGTTCCAAAAGCACAAAACAGGGCTGGTGAGATGGCTCAGTGGTCTAAAGCACCCACTTAGAACAAGCTAAGCTAAGCTAAGCAAAGCAAAGCACAGGGACCCCGGTTCAATCCCCCAGCACCACATGCCAGCCAGCCCCGCCCCCTGATGGACTGAGCTGGCCACACACACACATAAATAAATACAAATAAACACACACAAAAAAAAAAAAAAAAAAAAAAAAAAAGCACAAAACAAAAACAAAATGGTGTACCTCAGTGGCCCAGTGTTTTCCTAGCATATGTGAGGCTCTGGGTTCCAGCCCCAGCACAGGGGCTTAAAAGAAAAAAAAAAAGGCTGGCCCTTTTAAACAGATGCTTGCCTTCTAAGCAGCCTTACTGACACAAATGGAGTGCCAGGCTGCAGGAATCCGGCTGAAGCTGTGCATCACCAGAAAAGCCCTCCTCACCTTTTTCCTTGGAGCCGGTGTCCACAAAGAAGAGTTGGTCATCAGGGGCCTCTGACAGCAAGCCACTGGGAAAGGAAAAGGCAGATCAAAAACGCAGATCTTAGGCCAAGGATGTTGGGAAGGGAGCAGGTTTAACCTCTTCGGGTCCAGCCTTCCCCTCAAGCTCAAAGCCCATCTTCCTACCATGGGACCCTCCCAGGGCCCCTCAGTTCACAAACTTTTTCCTCCCTGGTCCTGGGGATCGATCCCAGGAGTGCCCCACTACTTAGCAACAACCCCAGCCCTTCTGTTTTTTGAGGCAGGATTCGAATTTGCGATCCTGCTGCTTCACCTTGCCTAAGTACTGGAATTACAGATGGGCACCACCATGTATTTAAGTCAGTATTTAAGTCAGTATTTAACACGCACCAACCCCGAACTCATGACCGAAATGCACTGACACTAAGGTCGCATGCGCCATTCATTTAGGCCTCAAGCTGGGCCGGGCGCCTCCAATACTTACTTGCTAAACCTGACACCTCTAGCAAGCCTCGCACCCCAACGCCCCAGCCCACCCACCTGGCGCTCCCGCGCAGTATCCCGACACCCCCGCACCCGACCACCGGAAGTCCCCCAGACCGCGGCCCCGCTCCCGGAAGTCCCGCCCCACGAACCCGATCGTGCGCTCCTGGAGCCGCACGTCTTCCAGGAACTGCTCGACCTCCAGCCCCAGCGGCTCCTCGGCGAGCCGCCGCCAGCCCCGTTTCTTATTTCTTGGGCCGCGCCGCCGCCGCCTTAGGGCCGGATCCACCGAAGTGGGCCGCAGCCCCAGGAAGCCAGAATCGGCATTCTTTTTTGGGCACTGCCTGGCACCAGCACCGTTGCTGTCCGGCGCCATCTTATTAAAGGAAGAGCGTCTGTCGCCGGCCCTACAAAATCCGGCTCGGAGCGTGCGCGCGCCGCTTCCCCGTCTCGTGACGTACTTCCGGTGGCGGCTAGCTTGGTGAAGGGTGAATGGCTCCCCCTCCTCTGGGCTGTACAGATGGGATCTTCAGAGTCTCAGCGGCTGGAAGATTATAAATGCGTGGATCTCAGCCCAAGTGCAAATCACCTTTCCCGGCGACCCCAGGACTTTGCTTAAACCTTTTTTATGGTGCTGGGCGCCTCACACGTACTGGGCAAGTGTTCTACTATTGAGCAACATATCAGCCTCCTGATTCTTCCTTTGATTTTTTTTTTTTTTTTGCGGTACCGGGGATTTGAACTCAGGACCTTGCGCTTGCCAGGCAAACGTTTATTCTACTGAGCCATCTCCCGGTCCCCCTTTGATATTTTTTGAGACAGTCTCATGATGTACTTAAGGCTGACCTCGAACTCGCGGTGATCCTCCTTCCTCAGCCTTCCGAGTGCAGGGATTACGGGTGTGTGCCACCACCCCCGGCCTGATTATTTATTAATATATTTTCTTTAAGAAAAAAAAAAAGCTGAGAAAATAGCTCGGCGGTCTAAGCACCTACCTGTCAAGCCCAAGGACTCAGGTTCAATCCCTGGTGCCGCATGCCACGCACCGGCACTCTGTGCCAGCCACCGAAACTGGGCGTGGGACACACACCTGTAATCCCAGCGCTGGGACCACTATGAATCTGAAACTGCGTAGTGAGACCGTATATCCAATAAATTAAAAAAAAAAAAACCAAAACCATCGGTATCAGATACAGCGCAAGACACGTCCCTGTCTCAGAATGTTGGCCTTTCAGTTTTCCAGTGCTAAACTCCAAATTAGCGTTAGAACTGTTGAGTTTGGGGAGCACATTCAAAGAAGGATAGAGACATACACTATTAGGATCCGTCTAAGACGTAGAGTCATTCATCTTGGGCAAGCTACTTGGCTGTGCCTTGGTTTCTTCACCTATAAAGTGAGAACAATGCGGTACTGGGGATTGACTCCAGGGTTTTCACGCTGAGCTACCTGCATCCCCAACCCCTTTTTAAAAATTTTTTTGATACTGAGACACAGGCGGGCATGGTAGCCCTCACCTACCCAGCATTCTGAAGGCTGAGACAGGAGGATCACAGTGAGTTGGAGGCCAGCCTGGGATCCACGGTGGTTCAAGCCCAGCTTGAACTACACAGAGACCCTGCTCAAAATATAAAACATTGAGACACAGTCTGGCAAACTCAGTAAGTTGTCTAAACTTGCTGTCTTCCTTCCTTAGCCTTGCAGGGTGCTGGGGTCACAGGCATGCACCACTGCACCCGGCTAATGGCAAATGATTGAGGGTTTAAACGAGGTAATATGTGAAGCACTAAAGACGGCGGGCAGCTGAGCGTTAGCTATTGTTACAGACTTACCCCTGAGACTTCATCTCTGAATCAACCAATGTCCGCTATTTACGAATAAGGAAGGAAGCACAGGGGCCCTGGGTTGGGGGAGGGGTCTGGCAGTGTTCCAAAGGGATGCACCGTCCCCTAAAAGCCCCTCTTGATCCTAAGGGAAAAGGCACAGGGAGGGCAGGCGCCACGTCGGGAGACACCACGCGACCCACCCGGCTCCTCCCGCAGAGCGTCGGAGAAGGTGACAGGTCCCGGGTTGTGCGGCCTCGGGACCTGAGCCCCGCGCCCTCCCGCAGGGCTCTCGATGGCCCCCACTTGGCTCCGGAGAATCCGCGAGGGGGCGCCCGAGGCCACAGCAGCAGGCGCGCGTGGGCGGGAGGCGCTGGGCCAGCGTGGCCCGGGGCGGGCGCGGCGGGTGTGGCCCGGGGCGCATCTGCTAGGGCGCGGGGTGCGTACTCGTGTGGTCGTGGTCCCCAGCGCCATCTGCTCCTCCCGGGGCCCTCATACCCCCTGTGGCACATCCACGGGTGCACGTCGGCTGAAGGACGCGTGGGCCCCGGCCACGCCCCACGGCTCGGTTCCCAGGCCCGGCGGCGGGAGGACAGGGCAGGGCAGGGCAGGGCGGGTGTCCCGAGGGGCGGGCCCCCAGTAACTGCTTTGGAAAATATGCAGGCCTGGCCCCCCGCCCAGACCTGAGTCACCAGGCTCCGTGGCCGCCTGGAGTCCGGGACTCACCGCCCCTGCTAGTCGGGAGGTGTCGTGTCCCCATCGCACCCCTCTTGTCCGCCGCAAGACAACCTGACTGCGACCTGGAGAGAAGCCTGGGCTTTATTCGCTCTGTGGGGACTCGGACGGGTTCGAGGCCGCTCCTGGGTGTGGGGGTGGCCGGTGGGCGTGGAGAATCCCAGCGAGCCGCTGGAGGGGCCGGGTCTCCAGGTATTTGTCCCTCCCCCGCGCGGGCGTGGGGTCCCCGGCCAGGGTGAGGCACTAATGTGGTGAAAGCCTGAACGGTAGGGAGGGGGGCTGTGGAGGGGAGCTGGCTGTAGCACCAGGAACCCTCCCCCAGGACATTCCTGAAATCGGTGCTAGAGGACACCCTGGCGCCCTTGTATCCGGGAGGGGTGCCTCTTAGGTGCCGCAGAGAGGCGGGGCTGCAGCAGTCCTAGAATGGGGCACCTGCGTGAGACCAAGGGCAGGCTAGCAGGTGGTGGGCAAAGGACAGAAGTCCCTCCATGGGGGCGTGGTCCCTCAGGGGAGGAAGGGGTTTTCCTACCTGCTACAAATTAAAGGAATAGTGTGGTCAGAAATTGAGGCTTCCCCAAAAGATGGGGAGGGGGCAGAAGAGGGCCCCTCTGAGGAAGCAGGAGGTCGAGGGCCTCCAGTGGTCCCAAGACCTGAGGACAGGGGAAGGTAAGAGTCTTTGCCTGGCTAGGCAGGAAGAATAGGGGGGTCTGTCCTTTTGGTGTGCTTCTGTGTGATCGTTATGTGCCCTTTCCTGAGAATGGCAGCTCCATGAGGGCCGGGCAATGTAGTAGGTGCTCAATAAATACTTGAATGAATGATGTGGGGGCCAGTGCCCATGTGTTCCTGCCAGTGTGATGTGCCCGAATGCATGTATGTATGTGGGGTGCAGCGTGGCCATAATGTGCCACGAAGTGTGAAGATCGGCAGTGAGGAATCTTGCCCTCCTCCCGGTCCGGACTAAATGCTTGGACCCAAGTGTCTGGTGGCGGGAGAGGAAGACCCCGTCCTCACAGCCGGGCAGGGTGGCGCGTGTGAGTCGCAGCAGGGGTTGCGAGTGCCAACGGGAGCCAGAGCAGGGCGCATGGAAGCAGGGCCGTGTGGCAGCGGCTCACTCAGCAGAGCCCTTGTGGCGCCGCTTGGAGGGTGGCACGAGGCGGCGGGGCAGGTTGGTGGGCAGCCCATGGCCCTCCAGCTTGGCCTCGATGAGGTGGCTGGCCAGAGCGAACTCCTCATCATCCAGCATGCCGTCGCGGTCCACGTCGCTCAGCTTCCAGATACGCCCCAGCACAGAGTTGGGGAGCTTGGTGCCCACCATCCAGGTCTTGGCCTTGGAGCCGCTCAGCTTGCCCTCCGCCGGTGCCAGGTTGTAGAAGATCTCGTCGTACTTGGACTTGTCCTTCGTCACCACCCACTCAGCCTCCTCGTCGGAACCCTCCTCACCATCCTCCAGCGCCTCATCCGGGCCCCGCTCCACGAAGGGCCCCATGTGGGTGCCCTCGAAGGCACCGCCCTGCACTCCCACCTCCGTGCTCTCCAGCTCCTCCTGCCTCAGCAGGGGCATTAGTTTGGCGATGTCCTGGGTCAGCATCTCATCCAGAGCCTCCAGCAGTTTCGGCTTCAGGGAGTGGAATTTGGTGAAGTCGTAGGCCATCAGCATCTCCTGTGGAGGGCGGTGGGGCCACAAGACATCAGAGCAGTCCTGGCCACAGCACTTTTCTCCAACACTACAAACCTAGGTCTGACCATGCAAGTTTGCCTCATCTCCCAAAGTCGGTTTGTTCCTTCGTTCTCAGGGTAGAATTTCTGAAAATTACCTTGGTATGTGCTCGCGTATGAGAAAGACTACTCTTCCCGGCATCCCTTGCAGCCATCTGGCCACGTGACTATATTCCAACCAATTGGGTGTAAGAACCAGTTGCTGACTGCAATTTTGCCGATTACTCTTCAATATGTATCCACTGGCCACATTTGATTATTTCAGTTAGTCAAAATTAAAGAAAAATCTATAACTCAGAATTTTTTGTGTGTTTCCCTTCTCTTTTACCACAAATCAAACAGCAGCTGAGCTGTATCCTTTTAAAAAATTATTTTCAGGGGGCTGGTGAGATGGCTCAGTGGTCTAAAGCACCTACTTAGAACAAGCTTAGCAAAGTACAGGGACCGCAGTTCAATCCCCCAGCACCACATGCCAGCCAGCCCCGCCCCCTGGTGGGCTGAGCTGGCCACACACACACACACATAAATAAAAAAAAATTTTTTTTAATAAATAAAAAATTATTTTCAGCTTCTTCCTTTTTTTTTTTTAAATTTTAGGAAGGGCCTACAGGGTGTTCAGGATCTCACTACTAGATTGGACTCATAGTGATCCATCCCCCTGTTTACATCCCCCCAAGAGCTGGGATTACAGGCACAAGCCACCACATCCAGCCTCAATTGTCGTCTCTGCACGCCCTGGGGGCAGGAACCCCAGCCTCTGGGTGCTTTAATCCGCTGAGCTATTTGGCCGGCCCTCAGCTTCTTTTTCTTAGGGTCGCACTCTGCAATACAGGCTGGCTTCAAACTTGTGATTCTCCAACCTCAGCCTCCCAGGTAACTGAGATTACAGGCACGCACCACCATGCCTTCCTCTAAAATTGTTTCATTGTGTCCTGAGGCTACCACATTGGATGGTCCAGCCTGGAACATTTCCATCATGGTAGAAAGTACTGTTGACGAGGACTGTTCTAGAAAGGGTCCTTAAAGAAACTGTTCTTTTCCCCTCCCTCCCCTATTGCTGGCTGGAATGCAGACACAACGGCCAAAGTTTCTGCAGCCATTTTATACCATGAAGATTCTTGGGAATGGAGACCAGATATGGAGGAGAAGTAAAGACTAGTTCTCTGGCTCCATACTGCACCAAATCAGCCCCAGGTCCGTGTTCTGGGCCATTTATGAAAGAGAAGGGCAAAGAAAACTCTAAATTAAGCCACTATTACTGTGTGTCTAGTCTTCACTCTATTATTCTACTTCATAAAACCGGCCTCATTTGGAAGATGCCTTCCAGAAATGCCCCACACCTGCCACTTTCCTCCCAGGGGTCACAGAGGGTGACCTCCCTGTCACCCAGCCACCCCTCCCAGCAGCTCCAACCTGCATCTTCTGGCAGTCGGGAAAGTCGCCAGGGGATATATGGTGCTCCAGCTGGATCTTGGCAAAGATGACGGGCAGCTTGAGGATCAGCTGCTTCTTCTTGTTCTCCTTCCCAAACACGGAGGGCATCTCCTTCTTCAGGTAGCTGATGATGTACGCATGCACCTGTGGAGGAGCGGCTCACCTGAGCCTGAGGAGGCCCCAGGGCTGGAGATCTGCCTTTTCTTTTTCTTTCACTACTTGGGATCAAAGTCTCCACACTGAGCTCCATCCCTTGCCCATTTTTTTAATTTTGAAACAGGGTCTCGTTAACTCACTAAGTTGCCTGGGCCAGACTCAAACTTGTAACCCTCCTGCCTCAGCTTCCCCAGTGCTGGGGTTACAGGTATGCACCATCACACATGGCTCTTTTATTTCTTTTTCTCTTTCTTTCTTTCTTTCTTTCCTTTTTTGAGACAGGGTCTTGCCATGTCATTTAGGCTGGCCTTCAACTAATGGAGATCAGCCTCCTAACAGTTGAGACTATGGACATCCACTACCATGCTCAACTCAATAACTGTTAGTGGCAGGGCTGGTGAGATGGCTCAGTGGTCTAAAGCACCTAAGCTAAGCAAAGCACAGGGACTGTGGTTCAATCCCCCAGCACCACATGCCAGCCCGCCCCGCCCCCTGGTGGGCTGAGCTGGACACACACACACACACACACACACACACACACGCAAATAAAGCAAAGCACAGGGACTGTGGTTCAATCCCCCAGCACCACATGCCAGCCCGCCTCGCCCCCTGGTGGGCTGAGCTGGACACACACACACACACACACACACACACACACGCAAATAAAAAAAAATTAAAAAAAAAAATAACTGTTAGTGGCAAGGGGTCCTGAGGGCAACAGGGCTGAGTGATGTGGGCCCTGCACATCTTTCCTGCGTCCTGCAGATGCATCTAACAGCTCTCCCCTCTTCACCACCACTCTTCACTGCCATCCCCAGCTAGCCAGGCCACATCCACGGCAGCCTCCCCTCCCCCCAAGGCCTTTGCACCTGCTGTTTGCTCTGCTGGAGCTCTGTTCTGGCCTCTGTAGGCCTGACTCCCTCGAGGTCCTTTACCTGACTCCCTCGAGGTCCTTTACACATCCCATCCCACAGAGGCTGTGCAGTGGGGACCAACAGCCCAACCAACACTGTCACCTTCAGTGTTTCCTTCACAGGGTGTCACAACATATGGCTAATTCGTGTATCTGTTTTGTTTCTCACCATCTAACGTGAGCCCCAGGGCATGGCCTGGTCTGTTTCCTCTGTGCAGGTACCACATGCATGGAACACACTCCTGAGGCACAGGTGTGGGGAGAGCAATAAACTCAGGATCCTTGGAGCCATGATCTCCTAAACCACTGAGATATTAGCAAGAAGGGCAGCATACAGGGGACTGGCACGGCCACTTTCTACAGGGTGTATGCGAATATATATATATGGTGCTGGACAGGTGTTGCATATGTGTAATCCCAGCACTTGGGAGGATGAGGCAGATCACTATAAATTCTAGGCTAGCCTGAAACACAGAGTGAGACTGTCTCTCAAAAACAAAAACAAGGGCTGGTGAGATGGCTCAGTGGTCTAAAGCACCTACTTAGAACAAGCTAAGCTAAGCTAAGCAAAGCACAGGGACCGCGGTTCAATCCCCCA